GGATGATAAACGAATTGATGAAGTGAACTGCCCGCCATGCTTAGGGAAGCCTATACCATTGTATTCCGATCTGTTTACCACAAGCCACAGTAACTGGATCAACGTACTGCGAAAAACATATGATATCAACAAGGGATGCTACAACACCCAAGGAAGTTACACATTATATCGACGGAGATGTGACCTTCTTTCTTCATCTCTCTATAATGTTAACACACCTGTCCATGTGCACATGTGAAAACGACTGAACCGTATACTTCAGTGGGTACCGATGTGTTTAAGAGAAAACAAAACAAAACTGGAAATTGTACACACCACGTGCAAAGAAACAAACACATATTATTCAGTGGCCTTAAACCACGCGTTTCATGCTCACTGCAAATCTGGCTTTGTTGTAAGTTCACAGAATCAAAAATACACTACTAGCAAGTAGTATTGGTGGGAACCAAGGAAACGCTTTGTGTATCTGCATTTTTAAACAGTACCGTATCGAGCATAGCGAGAGTTATACTAACAGATTTGCAAAGTCAAATTACTTACAAGCGTATGTTTCTCTTGTCTATAAAGGATATACGCACAAATGAGTTGTTTCTCAGCTAATAAAATGACAAAATTTCACCCAGTAGGAGATACCAAATAATGTAATCTGCAACGGATTTACGTTTTCCTGCATGCGGTAATAATTCGAGGTGTGTCACGACGGGTTTCACGAAGTCTCCATTTTCAAGATTCAACAGTGGGTGCAAAAACAACGTGAGACAGAAAGATGTTCCTTGTAGTAAACACACACTTTAAAATGCAAAAAGAATGACGCGGGCATTCCAGTCGATACTTCGGAATCAGTAACTTGAAACAAGGTCCCCTAAAATGTATGTGTTAGATGGTAACGTGAACGGCGACCGACATCGATGGTTTGAGTTCTGCAGAATTTGATACGTCAAAATCAAGTCTCTTTCAATTCGGCAGTACTGAGCAGAATATGGTCCCAGTGATCGCAATCTCTCCTCATAGGTGAGGTAATGCAACCTCTTGACCATCACAGGTGGCAATCTCTTGTGGATGCTGAAGAAACCATAGATTCCAAGGTTGGATGGCGTACTCTGTGTACAATCAAATGTACACCAATAGATAGCAGATTCAAACTGGTCCAAGACTGGCCTCTGCAAGCCCGTGGCAATTGATCGAACAATTTAAGTCCCATTGAACAATAACTATGCCTAATCCCTTCTCATTTGAAGTATGTGTGTGCTGTTGATTTACGAGTAAACAATATGGGAATCTACTCTTTCGGCATAGAGATAGGACCTAGCATTTGGAAACACTAAATTCACTGTCGTTTTTGATTAATCACTGATAAACTGCATTAAGTGTTTCTTGTCACTGTTTTTTTGTTTTATTTTTGTTACTGTATTCCATTTACCATATTCGGTTTCTCAGTTACCACTATGGAATGCCATCCATCCCACTCACGCATCCCTCCATTCACCCCAAACGTTTGGTTATATAGACGGAATGGAAATCGAGACATCCTTATCAAGAAAAGCGACTCACATTCGAAATGCTGTAAATAGAGCTTATGAAACGAGTCAAACAATTTACGAAAATTAAATGGTGTTCAACAAAGTTTGGATTAAAATACAGGGTATATGTCACACAAAAAAAGTCCTGAATCGAGATAGCAGTTCGGTATGTGCGCGTGTGTTACCTTCGGTAAATAAATTTTCACACATCCGTATTTAATGTGAGGATGACAGAGCCAGTGTTCCATATGAATTTGATTTATACACATCTAAACCTCGTGGACTGGTCTCAATTGACTAGCGGAATTACATGCCCAATTTTCTGATAGTTTTTTTTTCAATACTCGATACACACTCAGTTTGTATGCGTTTTACAAGCACCTGAATCCACTCGTCTCAAAGCTATTCTTTATCGTTTTTACATATTGTATCATATTATATTACGCAATCTCTGTCGAATAACTTATCGCTTGGATAACGTCAACCGGGTTGAGATCCAGTGGGGGAAAAACAACTCACAAATGCATGGACAACGTTTACTGCTATAATGTATTCACATAAAGAGTCTCAAGGTCAACAGTAACTCCGATATTCAATCAACTGGCGAGTATTATACGACGTATATATCGACGTATCGACGTATACACGTGATCCAGTTTAACGGGTGCCAAACAAGTCTCGAGAAATTCTCTGGTGTGTTATGACTGGGCTTGATCGATGATTTTTACCAATTCCAGGTCCAAATGATGTCCTCCTTGATTCTTATGGAGGAAAATCAACGATTTTCGGTCATGCCCCCTGACTATCGATTGGTGTCCAGGAATTCTTGTTGATAGCGTTGTCTCAGTTTGTCGGATATAGTGTTTTGAACAGTTCTTGCAGTTTCTTTTGTAGATAGCACAGCTCTTGTCCTTCTCCATTGTCCTCTCCTTTGGTTTTGACAAAAGTCTGCTTAGACAGGCGGTCAACCTTGTGGGCGACTTAGATTAGGTCTAATCTGAACAGTCTGGCTCGCATTTCCGAAACGTCCTTGATTTACGACAGAGTCAATCTTTTTCCCGATTCTCCGTCTGTGATTTGTTGCCTTCTTTGAGTCAGAGTTCTTCTGATGAAATTACGGATGTAGCCATTGCGAGCAAATAATCTGAAACGGTATCTTCCTTCTTTCTCCTTGAGTATGTCGGTGCTTCGAGGGTATTTGGATTCTTTCGAATAGAGTTCTAACACAGCATCTCAAATGGGGCTGTGTGAATAATTAATTTATATTTTATTTGTATTTGTATAATTTGTGTAAGCATATATGCTTAAATTTCAGTTAAAAATATGCACTGTTCCTCACGCAGAATGAAATAATAATGATAATAATGAAATATAACAAAAAAGTTAAGGATTGTCGGTGATATTTGTTTCATGTACAAAACGTTTGACGTAGTTCGTGATCTCTTTGTAACCAAAAGCACCTAGAAATGGATTGTTTTAAAATGTACTTTGTCATTGTTTTATATTGTGTGTACATTTCAGTCAAATAAAACTGTATTAACCCATCCAATTGGATCGAAAATGAAATGAAGTGTTATATACCACAAGGATAAAAATTAAACTTTGTGGGTTTAAAATTATTTCGTTTCGGATCTTCACCTTGTCAGCGAGAATACGAGTCAGATAGGGAACTATTGAGTTGTTATAAATGTTTATGCGTGAGGGCAAGCAGCGAAAATTGGATCGGGTTGTAGCTCGTGGGAAAGATAAGTAGAAAAATCGGGTTTTTTGAGTATATTATGAGCGAAATTCTCACATGAAGTGACATGTATTTTACACAATTTGGTGATTAGAATCCTTCAGGGAATAAGAGAAACACGGCTGATAATTCCCAAACCGCGACGAACAGTAATGAAATCCTTTCTAAGTAGTCTAGGAAAAATAACGGGTAAACAGCAAGGTATAAGAGAAAAAATGGCACGGGCACCGATCGTAGCGGGAGAGATGCAACAGGAACCGTTGACGCAACAGAGTGCTTCTTCAAACTGACGTTATTGGATAAACCGGAGTTGAAGGCGCATAAATTGGTCTGAAAAACGTTAAATTTTGAGTGCACAAAAATTAATCTTTATCTGAACGGATAGCGATATCTGTCACATTCGAATGATCTGTATGCAAAGTTAAAGTTAAGGTCAAAGTTTTATTATGGGAAATACTTACAAGCGGTTGCTTTTCTAGACCCATAGGATTTGGCACAGATGAATCGGTTCACAGTTCATACAAAGTAGATGAATGTCACAAATTGTCCTTTTTCGTGTGCTTCTACGGATGTTGAAATTTAAGACTTTTCAAAGCTTCATCCAGTTTGTGCTTGAATGAATCAATTGTGGGCGCGGAGACAACGTGTGGTGGTAGAGAATTCCAAGTAATGCACACTCTGAGGGCGCATGAATGCCGCCGGCATTCTGATCGGCATTTTTGGAGCACTAATTTGAATGAGTGAGTTTTGGGTGACAAGGCAGAGAGTGAACGAGATGGATGGTTTGGGTTCTGCATTATTTGGTATACCAAGATCAAATCTCCTCGAATGCGGCGATACTGTGTGGAGTACAGTTGCAGTGCTTCCAGCCTTTCCGCATAACTCTTGGACTGTAGTCCTTTGGCCATTTTGGTAGCCATTCTTTGTGGACGTTCCAGAATCTTTTGATCGCGTTGCAGCCATGGATTCCATGCTTGAATGGCGTACTCTGTGTGGGGTCGAATGCGTCTCGCTATTCGGGCACAAATTTTCATCTGAACAGTGAATTTAACGCACTGGTTGCAAATCCGAATTTTTTTGTATTGGCCTCAAATTATGATACATTGATTGGTACTCAGCAAAGTAAACATTTTCTCTCTATGAATTAAATCTCTCTGTCCGTTGGAGAAAACTGTCATTAGTGAACATATAAGAACAATCTTGCATGCTCTGTGATCACCCCTAATGGGGCATATTTTCATGCGTCATTTTATGTATCAATTAAAGATGATTTCGAGTTTGGTTAGAAGGTACCTTTTCAGATTAACCGATCCTATTGAGTCACTGCTCAACGGTACATGTTCATTGATCTTAATTGTCTATATTCCAAAAAGCTGGGCGGTCACATACGATCGTCATTTCATTTAAAACAGTCATTCATAATTTCAGATGCACTGGAGTAGACATGTACTCTCCAATAAGAGCCGATAAGTGGCACAGGTCTTACGCACTAAGAGGGTGCTCGATGTCACCCCGTAGACCAGGTTGCATCCGGGGGGAGCGGGTACTTTCGAGATGTGAAGGAATGCAGAGGTCATCCTAGTAAATTGGCGATTTACCCTTAGTCAGTCTGTACCTGCAAAGACATTGTGACTGATTAGCGAAGTCTGTGGAGCACGTTCGCCCTTCCCCTCCCCCCAAACACTAACCTCATAGAGCTCAGCGTTGACTCAAAATGATACTACTATTTATTGTCTTGTGAGTACAGAATGATCGCATCTATTTCGTTTGGTTTGGTTTTGTTCAAAGCTCGGGAGGCCAGTGTGATAATGAATTCCTCGTCTGCGGAGGCACGTGCCAAAGCGATCGATAATCTGGCTGATTCACTGGTGGCAAATCAGGCCGAAATTATTCTGGCAAACACCAAAGATATCCGTGCTGCTGAAAGTGCTGGTGAGTATTGGATCAGAAGGGAGAGCATGTAAACCGGGTCCATTTTATTATCTAATTTAGAAATGCTTTCAGTGCTTTGAATGATTGGTAGGTTGGTTTTAGGTAAATAAAGCGTGCTTTACTTGTCCGTTCCGGTGCTTGTTATGTGTTATATGCAAGTTAATGTCATATATGTATTTCTGTGCTATGCCCTTTGGAATATCAAAACCGTTGTACCGCACAGTGGATTATAAGTCATGACTGGGTGGGGCATTGCTGCACCACCTCGGAGCTCGTCATCTTGATAAGGGGAAAATAAACTATGGATGGAATTCAAGTTTAAGCTGTTGGCCGTCCAGCACATGGCCCGTCGTTTCGGGTTTCGACTGCTAACCAGAGCGTTCTTGATTCAGGCCTCATCTAGGGCGTACACATGGTAAACAAACCAAGTTTATCAAACTCCTTCACATAGGCTACGTGAACCATCTTCATACCTGAAGTGAAGCCAGTGGATGACGGTAAGGTCACAGAAGCAAAACATCTTAGCATGTTCTCATGAAGCTTTTCCACGCCTTAGAAAACTGAAAAACTCATAAAAACACCAATCCATCAGTCTAACTTAGTTATTTGCACTGGTTACCGAAAGCTTTCGTCAAGATAAAAGTTAGCCCAATATTCCTCGGCACAGTGATCGCGCCTAGGTCGTGTTCGAGTAATTTGTAATGAACACGATAAATACGCGATCAGGCATACGGTATTTTGATCAAGTGGTAATTGCTTCAACTGTCCTGTGAATAAGGAAATCTAGTTCATTTTTCCAGCTAAAAAGCTTAAAATGAACGTCATTTGTAGTCTGACAGGCACTACCATTGACTGATAAANAATTAAATTCATAGTGGAAATGTTTATCGATCCAATTTTCTATGCATTATATTATGATGTGTTAAGATATTGTATTTTCTGTAGTAAATCTCAGCTAAGATGCATTGAAATGAGTTCAGATTTAAATCTTGCCCGACGGAAACTTTGCGTCTTTGAGTAAAATTCAACTGGTTTCTCAAACACACAATCATGTGACACACACACACACGTACACACGCACGCAGGTTTACAGTCCAGTTTGCTCGCACGTCTTCAACTCGGCCCGAGCAAAATCAAAACACTGAGCGACGGACTGAAACAGATCGCTGAACAATGCCGCGAGCGAAACGGTCACGTGGGCTGTGTGATTGACCGAACCAAACTGGCCGAAGGTCTCATACTGGACAAAATCACCGCTCCCATTGGTGTGCTCATGGTGATTTTCGAGTCCAGACCGGATTGTTTGCCCCAGGTGAGTTTTCTGACTGTATGCGTCGATCATTGATTTAATTGTTCTGGGTTGTGAAAAGCTCATTTCAACAAGAAACAAAGAGTCTCTAAAACTATTTGAGATGGAAAAGTTATGCGATAGCTGTGAAAGAGCGTTCGACAGCTGTTTCGAACTTGTCGCTACTCATTTGCAGTGTGATAATTACTTCATAACCGGCTCATGGGTCGAAGCGCAAAACTTTGGGTCAATAGTCATAATGAGTTATGCCTATTCATTTCATCATTACACTAGAACACCTTCTCAAGTGAACACTTCTGAGTACTTCAGTCATGCGGTTGCGAGCCGCTTGAAATCATTGCCCGTTCAATATCGTGGGAGGTCACGTGGTGGATAGTTACCGTTGGTTAAACATACATGATCACATGCGGTTAAGTGGCAGCATCTTCACGAGAGTTGTTCCACTTCCACCAACAATACACCTTCCACTTGACGTTTGTCCGAAATCAAGAATGGGATATCCGGAGGCCGATCGGGAGAGAGAAAGTGTGCGTGTGTGTGTGTGTGTGTGTGTGTGTGTGTGTGTGTGTGAAAAGAGACCACAGATATCGCCTAAAAAATATAAACGGTTTTGCGGTATGTATTTGATCTTCCAATAGCAATTCATTGAATAATTCATTAAGTTTAATACAGAACATAACCGACAGTAAGTGAGAAGGATGCCAATGTGAAGCAACAAAAGAAACGCAAATATTAACTCTCTTTTAATGCTGAGCACACTACAGTTCAAATCAATTTTCAGTTACCCAACTGGGTTCGATCGTATATCTTCCCCGGATGGAGAACTAGGGCAGAGTTGGTCGAATTCCATCTCATCACCTTGCTAGTCACCAATGTGACGGTGACCTTGATCGCCGTCCCGGGGGTCGTAAGAGGCGAGTAAACCATAAACCATCAGATCAGTCTGATGCACTGCCCGAACAAAGTATTCGGGTCGATATTCTGGCATGACAATGAGACGATGCCTGAAACAAGGCCCAACTTCTATTGTATTATATTGTATTGTGTATAAATTTTGCAACTACTAAGGCTTACAGTGTATTCAAAAAAAGCTGTACACGCTAACTGTCACTCAGAAAAAAAGTATTTACAGATAGCATGGAGATATTTCATAATACGACATTAATACAAAGTTCAGTTGTCAGCCTGTCTTTGTTGTTGAATAAACGAGCAAGATACGGTATCGGTGAATTTCGATAAGCGTTAATTCGAGATGAAGTTTGGCGGAAGTCCTCCGATGGTTGTTTCACGCACTATTTATCGATTAATTAAGTCTGTTTTTTGAATCAGCTAATAATTAGTAAATGGGAATGTCGATACCCCAGCAGCACACTGGGAGAATGTGAAGAGACAGTTGGTATGTATGTCAAAGCTTCAACTATGTAATGCAAACTATCAAAACAAAGCTACCTCGCACCGGTAAACCTGTGAGCAAAGTGAACGGGGTTAATGGGTTGTAATGGTTTAATGATCAAGGGTTTGATTCCAACTTACTGATCACGTGATCCGAACCAATTTACCAAAGTCGTAAAATTTAATTGATTCATTTCAGATTCTGTTCCGTTAACCTGGGCTTTCTTTCTGTTCCAAAAACAGGAGGAGTAGTGTAAGAGCCCCGAGGGAAAAAACTTACTGAAGACAGCAAGTCCAGCATACACGAGTATAAACTGAAAGATGATTTGGTTTTAGGTCTAAAGGTTATTGACTTCATCATTTATCAGCTGAGAAAAAGGGATTTATAAAATATCGATCAAACCACAACAACAGCACCAACAACAACCACGATGTATATTAACAAACCAAACCAATTTCACACGGTTTGAATGGATGGGTTCATCAGGCATCATAGCGGTTATTGCGTGAACAAATAAATTAATGAGTACATTATTTCTGGATTTCAGGATGCTAATTCTGCCCGGGAATCAGTTAGGTGAATTCATCCATTGTTCCATAGTCTAGTCTCAGGGAATTTTAAATTATCCAACACAACACACCGCGGAAAGAACAAAACATCTTTGCTCTTTTGGGATGGGTGGGTGGGTGAGTGGGCAAAGAGAAACGGGAGAACGAAGTTGAAGAAACAAAACCAGCGGTTGGTTGAGACTGTTTTGCGCGCGCATTGTTGCTGAAATTCTTCATATTAGCCGAACTGATAGAGCATGAATACTGTGGGTCGATGTGAAATAATTACGTCACGCCATTGGACCTGGGGGATGAGTACCGACCGCATCAGGTGCAGTGTGCATTGTATTCCCCTGTCGGAAAGAAACTCCATCCCAAGAAAAGGGCATCCTGTGGAGCACGGAATGATAAAGGAACTTGCCTAAACGGGAGCTGATATGTAAGTCTAGGGGTGGGGACTTCGACCGATGAAAAAACCGTTCAGCAGCTTATTTAGTGTTTTGTGCGTTATAAATTATTCCTGAAATTTCGAGTTAAAGAGACGGACCAACACACACCCGGAATGCTGGTTGTGTTTAGTCTGAAGAGTCTCTGTTCCAAATAACACATGCCTAAGCTTGAAGCTAAGTTCATTAAAATTCATCCACCGTTAAAATTTTGCGTAAATCCAGTTGATTTGATTTCACGTAACAGCTCAGCACCAGCACCGGAAGGCCATCTCATTTGGAAGTGATTTTGAAGTCAAAACACAGTGGAGTATTTTCATAGATTAGATAAGAGCATTTCTGATCATTCACTGTGATTTTTATCCAGGTGGCTGCCCTATCCATAGCAACTGCTAACGGATTACTTGCCAAACCGGGCTCCGAGGCCCTGCATACCGTCCGCGTTCTACATCGTCTTACGGCGGAAGCACTGGAAGCCGCTGGTTTGCCGGGGACTGCTGTGGGTGTTTTCGAAGGTCGTAAAGATGTACAACGGGTGCTGGGTTACGGGGATTCCGAACCGCTTGTCGATCTGGTCATCCCCCGGGGTAGTCCGAAAATGATTCAGAGTGTGCGTGCTGCAGCCAATGAGGCGGGTACCGGGGTCCCGGTCCTGGGACACGGTGCCGGTATTTGTCACGTCTATGTGGACAAACAAGCGGATATGGATAAAGCCATTCACGTGGGTAAGTTTATGACCACATGTTTGATCCATCAGACCACGGATGGGGTTTACTTCATGTGGCCTGTGTGGCATCAATCTCATTCTTCAAAATCTTTTACTTTTACTGTAGATCCTATTCACAATATTTTAGAACAAGTATCTGCACAATAATGCAGTGTATCATCGAGCGAGCGAATTGTTTAAGCGAAAGAAAAGTTGACTGATAATCTTTCACTTATTGTTATCGCGCACTATCCTGTTTTTTCCAGTCTATCATGCACCTACTCAGAAACCAATATAGATCCACGCTTCGCTTTCATTAGTGCTCGTCGGTAGTAAATATTCGAACTACCAATCAATCACATGAAGGCGAAATTACAGTGTGATGCAATCCGGTCTGTTCAAACCGACAGCGAGTTGGTAACACGGGTCTGATTGACGAAATCGTCCAATTTCGAAAGTGTTCTGTATCTCACCGCTGCGAACAGTTTTCATTTTCTTCAACCACCCCGTTGTTCGGAATAACGAGTAGGGAAACATATTGCGGAGGAGTTCAGACAAGGAATGACTGCCGACCACTTAATATCGATCAGCGGTAACTACAGCATAGCGACTGAATGAAAAAACCGTGTAAATAGGAACGTGTAAGAATTCCACGATAACGAGTAGAGCAGCTTCTTCGAGGACCGGGTGGGGTACCGGCATACAGATCCACACTCGTGTAAGCGCGCGCGTATTCTGAAGTGAATTCGGAATACAAGGATACATACGACTTGTCTTTCGTCCTGAAAAAGTTGATATTATGAAAAATATGGACACTCGTCTATGAATCACGGTAGAATTCATCTGATTTAAATGCGCAGCCCAAACGAACTTCTCGAATTCCGAGCAAAGACTCTGTCTGTCTAGGTGTACGATATTTTAATAGCATCACGCAACAACTGAGCAAAGCAATTACCGGACCGGTTTCAAATCGGGATGAATTGGGGTGTGAGAGGGGCACAGTGCGAAAAGCACTTTCCCCGAAAAAGATACTTTTTAAAATGGTGGGATAGATTTACCGCGAATGATTTAGACAGGTCGATCAAAAGCGAATCCTCGTGAAACGCACTGTCATCAAATGTGAAGATAGGAAGCAGCGTCGACATTGTTTGCGAATGAGCGTCCCCGTCCGCGCACGAACACACAGACACACAACTGAGTGTCCGAGGTCCTGAGGTGGAAAATCCAACTACGGTGGTCTATTTATCTGAGAGAGAGAGAGACATTTCGGGATATTGGCTACTACTTGCCTTGATCAATAGGATCGGTTGATTACTCCACGCGTAACCCAACTTGGTCAGGTGTGAGATCGCACGGTGGAGAGTGGGGACCGGGGACCGGGGGGAGGGGAGAACAGACTGGGGTGGTGTGTAAATTACACAAGTTTGAGAGCAGACATTTGGGTTGATACACTGTACCCAGATCGAACATTGTGAACAGCTCACATTCCGTTTAGAGTATCAAGCTTGGATTAGCCCATTTGATTGAGCCATTCGCACAAGCTGATGACTGTTGGCCGTGTAGCTCAGATGTAAGGGTTTGAAGTCCCTACCCGACTGATAGCGATTCGAGTATGGACAGGGACACAAAAGGTACTCACTGCTGGCGAGTCGCAAACAGGACGAAACACCTGTCTTCCAGTGCTCTTTGTTGGTTATCACAAACATTTCCATCGTATTTGAATGCTCACATTCCGTTTCATCGCCCCAATCGGCAGGTCAAGGAGGCAGGTTGAGTTACGCAATCTAAGTGAACATACGGACAGACAAGTGTTAATAGCATTGGAAATCAAAGGACGGCCAACGCGATGGCAATTGGATTGATTGCATCATCGTCTTGCGGGACAGGGTGAGGGTGGGGCACGAGAACAAACGATGCGACCGAATTCACAACTTTTCACCATTTATTTTTGACCTTGCCTCTTCAATGTTTGAACAAGCAACTTGAATCAAGTGGTTCGAACCGACTGGTTACCACATGTGGATGATCTTAATATTTTTCTCTCAAATTTTCTCTTAAATTTTCGACAACAGCAAATGCCTCTTTTTGTACCAAAATTAAGAATATCAAGTGCTAAGATTTCTTATCCTAATCCAATAAATTACTTTAGAACCAAATTTGTATGTTCAAAGTTCAGCCGTACACCAACTGTTATACTTGCCAGAGTGGTTATGTGACACTGGGTGTATAAACCAAGTTTCAAGACCCAAATACATGGGACATCTCTCTTTCTGATTCATGTCTTTCAGAGAGAAAAAAACGTTTTGCTTATATTCGATTAAAAAGTACTCTTTAAATGGTTTACAGCCCGGATGCAACGTAAATAGCGCGATTCTGTGAGTGAGTGAGTGAGTGAGGAGGAGAAATTTCAAACAATAAATTGGACAAAATACACAGTATTTCACAGTAACTTGGGTAACACGCAGATAACACGATGAGATGATTGTCACCCACGGTTTCTGACTACTCAGAATAACAAATAGTTTTCACTCGTCATTACATTATCCGAGAGGAAATGAATGCACAAAGAGACATTCGAAAAGTGGGCAGAACAAAACAGAAGATGGTGCTCGTCTTCACCCACCGACCCCCGCCTCGCCTCGCCTCGCCTCGCCTCGCCCCCTCACTCCCACCTCGAATAGGACTATTATCTCCCCGGATTGCATCTGTGAATGGAAAGAGCGAAAAAGGACCAAACTAATGGTGAAAGCCACATGGATGCAAGTTTTTGCTTCTTCGTCTTCGTCTTCCCTTTAGACAACGAGTTCCACTCGTGACTGTTTGATCAGAAGAAATGGCTATTCCCGGAATGAACTTCAAAGTCCACTCAGGGCCACACAGGGA